TGGAAATTTTGGTGAGAGTTCTCACAGCCTAATTATTCCCTATCAAAGTATAATAAATCCTATATAGTTTGCATAGGCTTCAATAGATTGTAGATTATTATTATCCCTTTTTGATCTTGACCGCCAAAAGATTTTGATACTTGCATGGTTGTTTTAGTGTAAGGGAAAATAACTGCAGGTGGAGTCAATGAGCAAATCCTGTTTACAAAGGACACTAAAAGTCCAATTCCTCCTTCCATGGCATAAATAATGAGAAAGGACTGTTCTACAGAGCTGTGCACACCATCGCCTGTCTGACCAGCACCCAGCCCAAAAATCTCTCTATAGGTTTTCCTGAGACTATTTTCACCATGTATTTTGCACTGCTATCTCTGAGGTTTGGTGCCCTTTCTATGAATGTGTCTTACAAAAACACCTCCAAAGCTTTATCATTGTCCTGGGTTTAGCAGTGGCAGTCATTTTTCTCTTTCTTGGTAGCTGGTGCAGTGCTGTGGTTTGACTTTCAGCTGGGAACAGAGCTGATAACAATGATGTTTTGGTTTGGCCAAGGACTTTGTGAGCCTCATGCTCTGCCAGGGAGGAGGGGAAGCCAGGAGGAAGCAGAGACAGGACACCTGACCCAAACTGACCAAAGAGGTATTCCATACCACAGCACGTCATGCCCAGGAGGTAACTGGGAGTTACCCGGAAGGGCTAGGTTGGACTGCAGGGTTGGAGGAGGTATCGGTCGGTGCTTGGTCGGGCTGGGGGGGGCAAGTTATCGGTCGCCTGGTGATGGGGTGTTGTATTCTCTTCCCTTGTTATTTCCTTTATCATTACTATTATTGGTGGCAGCAGTAGTGATTTGTGTTATACCTTAGTTACTAAACTGTTCTTATCTCAACCCGTGGGAGTTGCATTCTTTTTGATTCTCCTCTCCGTCCCTCCAGGAGTAGGGGGAGAACAAGAAAGGGGGGTAGTGGGTAACAAGCTGTCTGGATGGGTTTAAACCACGACAATCATATATTCTACACGTGCCTGTTTCATACACAAGCACATGTTTGGGTTTTGGCTGGTGGCTGCTATCACTTAAGCTATCCGGTTTCAGAAATGTCTTCTGCCAACCATCCTCGTAAAGGAGAGCCACTTCTACTTAGCCCCTAATGTTACACAACTGGAATTCATTATATGGTTTTCTCTGCTTTGTTTTAGGCTGTGAAAGAATGCATTTGCTACACAGTGCCCCAGGCAGTTCATCAGCTACAGGGTTCTCAAGCCCAGCATGACAGACATTACAGAATCACGGAATATTCAGAGATTATATTAAAGTTACAAAAACTATGTGTACGTTGTGGTGCATCCTGGTGATAGTTCTCCTGCCTCCATGAGTAAGATATAAAGTGCTTCCTGCAAAAAAAATAAGTCATTGGTGGGTAATTAACGCAAGCCTTAGATGTTAAAGTGAAGTGAGCCTTGAGAAGATTGCCCACAAGAGGAGGAGTAGCAGGGGGGGATCTCAAGGTCAAATTTAGCTAACAAAAGGTCTGAGATGGCATGAAGTAAAGGTCTTAGCCTGGAGAATATGGTCACTCATGTTTAAAACCTGATAAGCACAAAACTAGGCAGAGGAGCATTCCCTCTCTCTTCCCACTCTACGAGGACATATGCAGAACCAAAGTCCTCACTGCATTGTAGAAACCAGCAGAATAAAAATACAATTAAGCTGTTTCTTTTTAAAGATAGGATTTCCTTGAAGTGCCCTTGTTTCAACAAGTAGCTCTCTACTGCCTGACAGCAGGGTGATCCATGTTTCTCTGTTCTGTGGACCCTATAAAAACAGGACATCAGCCTTTGGTCTATGGGTTGTGGTTTAAGCCCAGCCAGTACCTCAGAACGACACAGCCCCTCATTCACTGCCCACCTTTCTTCCTCCCACACCACACACACACCACCACCCCTTCCCCTCCTAGAGGGGTGGGGACAAGAATGGAGAGAATGTGACTCCCACAGTCCGGTAACTAAGGTATAACACAAACCCACCAAATAACAAGGGAAGAGAGTACAACCGCTCACTACCTGCCAACCGATACCCAGCCCGACCCGAGCAGTGAGGTAACCCTTCCGAGTAACTGCCCCCAGTTTATATACTGGGCATGACGTGCTGTGGTATGGAATACCTCTTTGATCAGTTTGGGTCAGGTGTCCTGTCTCTGCTTCCTCCCAGCTTCCCCTCCTCCCTGGCAGAGCATGAGGCTGAGAAAGTCCTTGATCAGATTAAACATTGCTGAGCACCAACTAAAAATGTCAGTGTTATCAGTGCTGTTCCCAGGCTGAAAGTCAAAACCACAGCACTGCACCAGCTACTAAGAAGGAGAAAAATGACTGCTACTGCTAAACCCAGGACACTATGAAAGGATAGTAAATTCAAGAAGCTTGAGGGAAAAAAAACTGGCTCAAAACTAAGGTTTTACCCAAATAGCTTGCTTGTAAGTAAGGTTAAAAAGCTTCAGAAGAAAGGTGAGATCACATCTTGAAGAGCAAGTTGCTAATACTGAAAGCTTGAAGACTCTGCTGTTAGCAGTGAGAAGATGCCGAATTGTCCATAGTCCACAAAGCCAGAGAAAGAAAGCACGGGTTACACCACAGCTTTCAAATTGAATGCAAAAATGTATAAAACTTTAATAGGCATAATCCTATTGTCTGTTATGCTGAATACAGCAGCTCTTTGAAAATCAGGAATTGGTTACTCCTGGTTTAACTGAAAGAGAAGTTTTGCCTGATGCTCTTTATAGGTGTAGCAGAACACAGACATCTGGGTCCAATTCCCCACTGATCAGAGCCCTTAGTTACCACAGCTGTAAAATACCTATTTCACAAGAAAGTTAGAAAGCCAGCATGAAATGTCCTTTTGTGCTGACAAACACCATTACAATGAAGTATCACCTAGAGTCAAGCTTGGCCAATTCCCTTTTCTTCCAGTTTTCACATACACCAAAGACTTATCCTCACTTGAGCAAAACAAGTCAGTAACATGATAATGGAAGATAAATGTATAAGGCATGAACACCAGGAAAAAGTCTTAGAATGTGATTGCATGTATGATAGGACTGCTCCAGAGTGGGAATAATTAGCCCTTTAATTAAACTTATATTGCTGCTAAACAAGAGCAATGCTCAGCAACACCTGGTCTGGAACATTCCCATCTCTGCAGGCAGCAGATGGAGCCCACAGACACGATCCGCATCCTTCCTACCAGGTCCATAGTTACCTATGCAAGTAATTAAGGTCTGGGACAATGTCTGAATTATTGTGAACCTCACCAGATATTTCCTTATCTCATTCACCCTCAGTAGCTAAAACTGGTCTTTTCTTTTTGCTGATTTTACCTTCCTCCTTCCTCACCTTTCTGCCATCCTAATGTTACACTCCTCATTTCATTGCTGTCCAGGGCAGCACAGAGATAGACTCAGATTTTGCAGCTACTTGCATGCAAGAATTTCTGAGAGATGTCAGCAGGGTTTTGCTGAAATAAAGTCAACGAGCTGACAACCAATAGAGGCCTAAAACTGTTAGCTTACAAGTTAACTGCTGCTCTGACCTGCTTTTGGTGTCCTGAAGGGGGATTAATTGAGATGCCAGGACTCTGGGATCCTTTTCACATCCCTCCTGAAATCATTACAACATTATGACAGAACAGGGGCATGTGAAAAGTCTGTCTGCTCCTGTAACCCTCCTCTAGTAGCATCCTACTTCGAAAAACAAAACATGGGCATGAGTAGACTTAACAATGAGGAATATATAAAAATATATGCAGTATATAATGGTTTGGGGTTTTTTCATGAATTAGGCTATCTGAACCTAGGTAAATTTCACATATCCCTTTATCCCACAGTATAACTATGTATAATATAATAAATTCTTTTGTTTACATTGAATCTGTGACTTGATAATTTGTTTTGACATCCCTTATTTTATCTTAAGAGAAACACAGATCAGCCATTCCCTACTGACTTTCTCCTGGAAGCTCAGGTTTTTGTGCATCTCTGTGACAGCTGTGTCAACAGACAGGCTTCTTTCTTATAGCTGAAGAATCCAACCTGAATACTTGTATTATACATTTGATTACCTTTACTGTCATTTATTATACTTTTTCTATTAAAAAATGAACTTAAGAAGAGAAAAACCTCACAGCCTATTCAGATGGTGGACACACACGGCTCCCTCAAAACCTGGGAAAAGAAGTTCTTTTCCCACCAACTTGAGGAATTGCCCAGACCTGCTCCTCACAGCAGTACAGTATTCCCAGCTGGTGTTTGGGAAGTTGATGTCCTCCATGAAGAGAGGGAATGCAGATCCAGTGATTTCTCCTAACTGCCTGCAGACTAAGCCCTCAGGGCTGGCATCCCAGATGGGCAATGGGGAGGAGACACCCACAGCAGCTGCTTTGTTTACAGCCCACTCATCCTCACCCAGAGGTCTCAACCACATCATCAGTGATGGGAAGGGCAGAACCATAAAACCTCTGCCGTACACGCAGTGCAACACCTGCACCTTGCCTGCCCTGCCTGGATGCTCCATCCCTGTACTACAGGCATGAGACACCTTCCACCAAGTCCTGCTCATCCCAAGGAGATCCCTGCTGCGGGAATGGACCAAGGCTTCCAGCAAAAGGCTCCTGCACCCACAGCCCCTGGGAGCCACCTGTAGGGGGCGGAGGGCCCCCACCCTCTTAACCCTTTCCCTGCCCAGCAGCAGCTCGAGACGCTGCTAGGGCGGGGCCGCGCACGGGGAGCCCCAACATTCCACGGGGAGGGGTGTCAAAGAGTCCTTAGCAACAGCCACCGGTCAGTACAGACCATGGCGCTGCCACCACGGCAGCTCTCACTGCATGGCCCCCAGGCCCCGATCATGCTTCAGCTCCTTCCAAACTCTGTGATCCCCAGAGGCTTCTACCCTCAAGGTGGGAACCAACCCCGCAGCCACGAACGCTGCTGGGGGCAAGAGCGGAGCTGACCGCGGCCATGGCTCCTATCTCTCTTTCAGGTTCAGGCAACCTGTGCCAACTGCCCAGCCAGGACCAGCTATTCCCTGCATCATGGATCCCATGGAGGGCATGGGCACCCCCGGATGCGCAGGAACCACCACCAGGTCTGGCACCCCTGGCACCCCAGCACCTTCTACACCTCCAAGGCCGGGTGCTGCGGGATCCCACCCCTCTGTCCCCAGGCAGATACGGCACAGGGGCTCTGCAAGCCCGGCCGAGCATCCCTTCTCTCGCCTGCCTGGGGTGTGCCCAGTCAATCCGATCTCCAGGGACGTTCCCTCAGGCTCAGGGCCAGCTCTCCCGTTCCACCTCCCAAAAGCGAGTCTCCTCCTCCTTTCCCAGCCCGTCCTGCCAGCACAGCAGCTCACCCATAGGGAGCGCCCCGGCCACCAGCTCCCCACGTGCCTGCCGCAGAGCTGGGGGCTGCAGGCAATGCAGCCCGCTCGGCGGGTGGCCCTGGATGTCCCCACGGCTCAGCACGGCTCTCACTCTCCCTCACAGGGCTGCAGAGGGCTCCATGTGGCTGCTTCTTCAACCCCCAGCTCTTCTCCATGCGGTGGACCGTGCCTAACCCACCTCCAGCAGACACCTGCAGACTGGGCTTCAACACTGCTCCTCTGCCAGGTGCTGCCCTGTTGGGGACTGGGGACTGCAGGGCCCTCCCGGCCTGGGCAGCCCCCGGGATCCCCCAGGGCCCAGCACAACACTTTGCACCCCAGAACTATCAGGGGACAGGAGCAGGGGTCCCAGCGCTGCCAGAGCCCAGCCCTAGGAACCACCACATCAACGGTGTGCCTGCAGGGAGCAACACTGCCAGCACCAACACCTGCATGGGGATAGCCCCTGGTAACAACATCCCCACGGGCAGCAACATCCTCCTTAGCTGCTCTTCTAACTACCAGAATCAAGGCCTTGGTGAGCCAGATGCAGACACTGAAGTCACTGAGGAGATGCTCCTCAAAGAGGCTCTAAGGCTCTTCGGTATGTCTGAGAAGATGGAGGCAGTCATCCAGCCGGGTTCCAGCAGCGTCATCATGCCTGAGAATCACAGTGACACCATTGGAAAGGGTAGAACACTGGCCCCAGCTGACCCAGACTTGCTGAATTCCATCCCCAGCAACAAAAACATCGAGGGGGTGTCTGCACAGCCCAACACCCCCAACACAGCCACCTCCCTGGGGACAACCCTGGGAATTAACATCCCCCCAGGAAACGATGTCCCTCCAAGTGCCTCTTCTGACCCCCACTATCAAGGCTTTGAAGACCTGAATGACAGCTTTGCACATGACAAAGAGGTGACTCTTGAGGAGGCCCTGAGGTTCTTTGATTGCCATGAGGACACTGAGAGAGTCATCCAGGAGGGTCGCAGCAGCAGCTGCAAGCCTGAGGACCCTGGCGGCACAGACACAGACATCTCCCTCTACAACTTCACCTCACTCTCACTGCCAGATGAGCTGCTCACCTGTGACTACGATGTCTGTGAGATAAGCAAAGTCATCCAGAGCCTTGAAGACATCACAACACTGGAAAGTACCCCCATGAGTTCTGGGCTGATGTGGTGATGGACCTGGAACCATCCCAGCCTGGCGGTGCAGAATAGTGGGGGACAATGTATGGGCTCAGAACCTTGCCCAAGCAAGACAGCGAGTTCAGCACTTACTGGTTGACTTAATGAGTCTTTTTATCTGATTTTTCCATTAAAATCCATTTCTCCAACACTGCTCTATGCCTGTGCGGGAGGGGTGGGAGCATGGGGCGGGGGGGGGGGGCACTGGGAAACGGCACCGCTGAGCCTCACATCAGAGCTGCTCAGCCCCAGGGGACACCGAGCTGGCCCCAGAGCAGAGTCAGCGGCAATGGGGCAGCAGTGCCAGGGGGAACTTTCTGTCCCCTTCCCCAGGACAGACGGGTCCCTGCAGGACTCACAGACACAGCCCCAGGCAGAAGCAACACAGAGACCCTCATCCAGGGCTCTCAAACACATCATCACTGAATCACTAAACAATAAGGAGGCACAGGTGAGAAGATGATTCTGTCTGACAACAGAACACAGCTCCTAGGAAAGGCATTGCCAGAATGCTGTCATTACTGTTACATGACTGGACTCCACAGCCTCCCAGAGAGATGCTGTGTAAGAAGTAAAGGGTACATTTGAGTGCCTGAGCATAGCTGCTCAAAAAGCAGCAGAGGACCATCAGCAGAAGAAAAGATGCCTTCAGTTGTAGAGAGTTCCAAAAGATCCATTCTCACTTCAGACTCATCCTCCACTCCCAGTCTCCCACACTGATTTTCCAGAGCAGCCATAAAACCACGTGGGACAGAGTACACTGCTGGTGTGAAAGACACAACAGCTTTCATTTGGCAAAAGGTGACTTGTTGATACCAACAACAGGTTTGCCCCTCTTCCCATAGGTGAAATAGGGGAGTGCGCCATCTCCATGCCATGTCTTGCTACCTGGGCTTCAGCAGCAAGGGAATCTTTGGTTTCTGTGGCTTTCAGCAGGACCTAGCAACCTAAAGAGACATTCTTCCCCTAGCATCCACAGTCTGGGTACAATTAGGAACACAAATTGAGCATTACATCCTTTATTAATATGCTCCAGTTTTTATGCTGTAAAAGACCTAATTCCACTGCTTTGGCTACTGGCCCCTAACATAACAAGTTACATGGGACTTGTCTCATCAAAATATCATCATGTCTAAATAGAGGACCTGTCTGAACCACAGTGAAAATGAGTAATGATCACAATTATGGGCTATATAACAGTCCAATAAAAACTAATTAAAATGATCCACATCCCATCTGCCAACAGCATATAAGCAACACCGGCCATGGGGGGGGATGGACAGGGGAAGAGAGTAAATAACCTGTCTCAGTTTTTAAAATATCAAATATTTCACAGTGAAAAACCTCTTTGTATTTTGTAACTAGCTCTAACCTGTGCTGTTGGGAGCTACAATGATTCCCTGAACCCTTAACCTAGGAGAAGTTTTGGGGGCTGCTTCCTGGGAGAAAATCCAAGGAGTTCCCTCAAAGTAAACTTTTCAGATGAGTCTGTGCAGTTCTGAGTCCATAATCCTATTTTCAAGCTGATTTAAGGACTGAGAATCCTGGGTTCCAGTGATTTCCAATGATATAAGAACATTTGTGCATTGGTTGTTCCTTTCTCAGGACAGCAGCCAAACAAAAATATCATCCTGAGCTCTCACTTCCCATACTTAGGTCATCTTCAAATGTGGACACTTCTCTGACTTTCTACAGGCAGCAACAAATACAGTTCAAGACACCATCACTCTTTCTGGGACTTTTTCTCATTTCTGAGGCAGTGAAACTTACAAATAATGTGCCTTCTGTTAATGAGTATGAGATTATTAACAACTTGCTAAGCATCAAAATAGCATCATCCCACTCTGCCTGAAACCAGAAAACATTTGTGGTAACGCCATGGTCCCCTCATCCCAGTAACCACTTAAGGGAATAAAAAAAAAATAAATACCAAAGGACTAGATACAGAACATTAGGGAAAAAGGTGCTGAAGTCCGGTCTGAAGGAAATTAAACACTTGGGGATGGAATCTAGAGTAACTTTTCTCACCTGAAGGTGGCATGAAGTAAACTGCAAAGCCATGTCTGGAAAGAAAGAAGAGGGTAGAGAGCAAGTTGCAGAGCAATAAGAGAGCACACATCAGTGTGCTTGAGAACGCTGTACGAATGATAAAGATCACACTCAAGGCATCAGTCAGGGTTTGAGTAGTTTTCTATACTGAAGTGAAGCTAAAGACAGCCCATTCTAAACTGGAGGCAGTAAAAGCTCATAGCAACTTTCAGCATATTTGGCTGGCTGTAACTTGAGCTTGTTACAAGAAACCAGCCATGATTTCAGAGGGAGAATTCAGCTTTCGATCTAACTTCTATTTGGAAGCCACCCAGCAAAAGATAGAGGGAACAGCAGCAGATGTACACTACTTTAATGGGGTATTCACCCATGCACTCTTATACTTGATTGAATTGCCCTTGTGTTCCACAGCTGATAGATCAGTGAAATGATGAAAACTTTTCCTGTAACATGACTACTCTTTATGGTTGGCTCTCCAGTGCTTTGGCCTTACACAAGAGATGGTTCCTGATGGTTTGGACTACAGCCTTGCCCTGTTGCTGATACCAGCTTTCATCCAAGCATGGTTCACTTGAAATTAAACCTGCCTAAGAAGTCCCTTCTGCACTTACAAAAACAGAGGCAAAGGAACAGATGAGATCCTCCCTCCCAGTCTAGAAGCTGTGGAAACAATTCTCATAGTGCAGTGGGAACTCAGCCTTCACTGCATCTCCTGTGTTTTCATTCAGAAGGCAAGTACCACCCATTGCTCATAAAATCTTCCTCAGCATACCTTGCCACCTCAGCCTGTTGGTACCTAATTCTCAAACTGTACCCTTGAAAACTTCCCTGACACTGCACCTCCTGGGCTGTATCTCTCTTGAGGGACACATATGCCTTTGTCATCTTCTGTTCTTCCTTCACACTAATATAAAGTGTGCTCCAGTTGCCACATCCAAATACCAATTTTCAGTAGAAGTGAAGAATGTTCCCTCTTGAAATTTCACCTGATGTTCAGTTTTTACATACAGATTTGTGAACATTTCTATGCCGAGGTACCACAGACATCTGAAATGTTAAGTTTCTGGAACGGGGAGAGACCCACAATGAAAATTAAATCCCTTCTAGCAGAATGCACACAGGGGAGTGCCTACTTTTGTCCATTTGTTAATTTTTTTGTGCTTTGTCTCCATCCACCTGCAGAACAACTGCCACAGTTTCAGTCTCAGCTGCTCCAGTACTGCAGACTTGTAATACTTCACTGCCTGTTTATCACATGGATATGGTCCACTTTCATGCCATATGAAGCTAAAGCAGTGCAATTTTGCCACAAGCAGAGATTCACAACTTTGCTTTGACTGGTTGCTCAAATCACTCTAACCTTTGACTGACGAAAAAGTTTGGGAACGCAGGGACAAAACAACAGTCTCCAGTGTAAGCGTTATGACAAAATGAAAAAGGGGAAATACACATTAAAGACATCACCTCTGGGAAACAGTGATCATTAAAGTTATTAAACATTCTGTCAAAGGCTCTGCAGACTCCTTTTCTCTCCTGCCAAGTTTTGTTATCAATAAAGGCAGGTTGCTAATATTTGTCACTTTCGAATTCATAATTTACCACTCAAAAGGCAGCAAAGGTACATTATATTTTCATAAAAGACTATAAAGTTGTTCAATTTTCCAGAGCTGCAGGAGGACTAAAACCCCGTGCTATGGCACAGGTCCCTTCATGTTTTATGGATGCGGTGATATTACAATGCAAAACAACAGTTCTCACCTTTCCCATTGCCTGGCATGGCTGGGTGATATTTTAGGAGATGCAGCAGCTTTTGAGATTGACAAACACACCATCTCTTATGGAGGCAAAAGAACTGATGAGTCTATTCAAGGCAGCCCTAATGTGTTCAGGGCAGGGATTTGGGCCTCTTGTCCAAGAATCACTTCTAGTATTTAAGTGGTCTAAAAATGTATGTTGGAAATCACTGGGACCCATGATTTCACTGTTAATCCTGAGTTAGTAACCTACAAGAGAAACAGGTAAATCTTAGAAATCCACCTGGTAATCCAGCAAGGACGTACAGGACTTTTTTGACTTCCAAAGCCACAGCATCCTATCTTGAAAGCAAACTATTCCATCCATCCTCATACCCTACAGATTAACAGCTCATCTTGGATTCCACTTGTAATTTTAAAATCTAAATATTAAATATTAATTTAAATATTTAAATATTTTCAAATGGGATTTTTTTGCTGGATGTGATGAGTCTCTAATTAGGTTTTGATATGCACTAGCTCTTGTGGATTCTCTGGAGTCTAGTAAGATACTTACAGGTTTTTTCTGTAACTAGAATCCTCTAATGCTGGGCACCTTATTTTAGTGAAACCCATGGAAACGCTCTCTTTCAGACCGACTCTCAGTACATGCTCAAAACAAGCTAAAAAGAATTCCCAGTTTTCCCCTTTGTAATCAAGTTTCAGCATTCTCCAGTTCTCAAAATGAAATCTTGCCTCTGCACATTCTCTGAAGCCAGCTTTGCCTGACATACTAAAGCAGAGAACAACATTTCATTTTTTCCAAGTTTAATATAGACATGGAGAACAATTTCTCACTATACAGTTAACTCCTATTGGCTTGAGAAAAGTTTACTTAAATTCTTCTAGGGAAATTAGAGCCCATAGACACAGAGCTTACACATCCATATAGATGCCAAAAGAAATGCCAAGCCTCATCCCATCCAGCAAAAGAACTCCCATTTGAAAATTAAAGACAGGTTCCAAAAATCTCTCTTCCTGAAACACAGATTTTGGTACAGATTTTGTAAGATTTGAACTTATACTCTGTATATCCTACTTTTTCTAATACACTGAAAATGTCCATTGACAACATTATTAATGTTCTTTTTCACTTTAAATTGAATCTTGTTCCTTGTTCTCTTCCCTCCCTCAAAATGCTCCATCTCCAGACCTACACTTCATACACTGGAGAAACATAGAATAATTCCAGATCTTCAGTCTGCTAAATATGAATATTTCATTATGACCAAGTTCACTGATAATGAGTCCAACTGTAGAAAATAAAACCAACTAAACAGTACATGTATAGGGTGGGCCACATGCCA